ATGTGTATGTGTTTGTATGTGAAGCAGAGAAGGAGAGAGGGGGCGAAGGAAAAGAGAGAGAGAGAGAGAGAGAGAGAGAGAGAGAGAGAGAGAGAGAGGGTAGTTTGTGATGCTTAGCAACCTATCAGGAGCAAAACAGCAAGCAGGCACATCATGGTTGTTGGGAACTTGGCAGGGCACTCTGTTCCAAAGTCCTCTTTAGTAATCCCATGAATAAATAACCAGGGGTCACCAGCTCTGTTAATAAAGTCTTCCTAGTTTTGATTTTCAATCTTCTCTCCCTCCTTTCTCTCCTCCCCTCTCTCTCTCCATCTTTCTCGTCCCGCCTGCTAATTAGGCCAGGTCTTCGGTTTCCCTGTCATGTGTGATATGAGTTTATCAGAGCTGCCTGTCAGGCTGCAGGGGTCAGAGAAGGGTGCAGACTGCAGCCTGAGCCACGGCACAAACTCAGCCATAAGAGAGAAACAAACTAGCTAACAGATCAGAACTAAAAGAGATCCTATCTGAGGCGTTTTGTTCTTCAAGCTCAGAGACACTGCTAAAAGGCTCAGCAGAAGACAAGAGTTCATTATGGGACTACTAAATGATATTACAGTACGTAACTGTTTCATTATTACCACCACTGTGGCAGTAAACAAGTACCACTAGACCTACTCTTTAATTCAAAACTTAACTGAATAAAGCTAATCATTGTCTCATTCTGTGTCTGATGTGACACTAAATAAAAACACTTCAACAGGTTTTTACAGAAAAGTGTTTTGCAGAGCACTTTTTGTGTTTGAGGACTAAAGGAAGGGGGCTTCAAAAGTTAACTGTGCTGTACCTCTCAAATGATTTTTACAATGTCCTTATTATTCCTTTTTGGAGCACTTTGAATTGGAATTTGGCACGAAACAGCAAATAAAGTCTGTCTTGATTTTGCCTTTTTTTAAAGTCCTATTTCCTATTAGATAGTCAAAAACTGAGAAGAAGATCTCTATCAGATACGTGAAAGCTTTATTCTCCAATCTCAGATAGATTTATATGAATAGATAAATGAGAGGTACTGCTGGAACTCAAATGACAGGTCTTGTGAACTATTTCTTTCTTAAAACATATTTAACTTTTTTTTTTTATTCAAATACTTTGTTTTGTTTCATGTTATGAGTTGAATATTTAGTAATTAAGTAAGTGTAATGTAAATACTTCAGCAGCTCTAGCCTTACAATATATTATCATTGGATGGAGTTGACGTTATAATCACTGATAACATTACACACATTGAAGAAGCTGTAGCCTGAAATACCTGTGTATTTTAGTGGATTGTTGCTGTTGAATTAACTAAAAGATATGTGTGTTTGCACCAAATAATACAGACGTGTTAAAAGGAGCTCTCCAAATCAGTTTAGAACCTCTTTTAAATGTACGGCCACAGTAGAACAATGCCAAGAGTTCATAAACCAAACCCAGTGTGACTACTACTACTAAACTCAGTTTAATAAAACCTGAATTAGTTACTCATAATGTTATATTTTTTAGGATTTTTTTGTATCGTGTCCAAGGCCAGAAACAGGTACTTGCCCTCCAGCACGATTTCTGTCTTCTGAGGCACCTTTTTCCTTTCCTTTTTTTCCTTTTGAATCTGCGATTCAGTGACAAAAAAAGGGAAACCAACGGAAGCAAAAAGTGTATGTATGAGCACATGAAGCAATCTTACTGCCTTATACCTTCAATTCTAATTGTATTATGTTACGCTGCATTTGCTATAATAGAATTATTTGTCCTTAAAGGTCAATTCATTCTGTGTCATTTAAATGTAAAACCACTTGTTATATTTCTGATAAAAAATGTATATCTTTTTCTATTTTCTATATTTTCCACTGCTGCAGCACATTGCGGGATGCACTGCAGTGCATTCAAAAGAGGGCAGTGTAACCACACATGCAGGGTTTGCTTGATATTTTCCTCTATTTCAGTCCACTCTCACATAAACATATTACTATACACCACATGCAAACTAGTATTGTATTAATTGTTCAACAGTTTGCAAATCAAATCTTTCCTAAAGCTACATATTTTTTGGTTTCAAACTGATAATGTATTTGTCAGGGTAAAATGGCTGGAGAATACAAAATGAAGTATGACTAATATAATTTCAGCAGTCAGAGTGAAAACCACAGTGGTCAAGCTGTGAGGAAAAAGCTGCTATAAAAAAAAATAAAAAAGCTGTAATTGCTGCAACACCCACTGACCCCTGTGCATCAGTATACCCAATGACTACATGTAAGAAAATTGCTTCATAGTTAATGTATTATTGTTTCAGTGATGGCAGAGAGGTTGCTTAGCTTGGCCCTGGGTGGCATCATTAACACAGTCTGAAGTAACACGTTAAAATCAGATGGCATTGTCACAGGTGTGACTACTGCTGTTCATGCATGTGATTAATGTCCCCTTTTGTGATTAATTTCCTATGTTGGCTGAGAAGCCCTCACATTTGTGATTAATGAACCTGCAGCCTAATATAATATAATGGTGGTTTGGTACATATTTAGTGTATGTACGTGCATGTGTGTTCTCTCTATGACTGGTACCAGTGCGCAGTATCCTCCAAACCCCAGTTCAGTCTGTGGTCACAGCCAAAGGTCAGGCTAGAAGAAATCAGCACACAACACTTGGACTCTCCATGTCTTGAAAGCAGAGTCTGTCTCACTGTGTTGTCATGATAGGGGCAATATATTGGGCTTTCCTCAGTAAATCTTGGAGACAAAGACAAGAAAGCAGACACAGAAACTGGCACAGCCATTGTATGTAAAGTTAGTGGCAGGCTGATACATAAATCCACATACACTGACACAGCTCTTGTCTCATGGGTCTGAGCTTCTGTCTCTGCCTGAGGGCTGGGAAGGGTGTGACCAAGATGCTGCAGTACAAAGCCTCACACTCTTCCTCTCCTCACAGAACTGAAGGGGACAAGGTGTACAGCTTGGTTATACTCACTGTTGACCTTTTGATGTACTAGTCAATATTCTCTCTTTTTCCCCCTCTCAGGCTTCTTCCCTCTATGCCCCACCTTCCCAATCTCCCCGGTGGTGACAGAGATGGAGGACACAGGGGTCTGTAATTAGTTGGTTGACCCCGGGGTAGGGTTGTGTGACCCCGGCAGCCGCGAAGCGCAGATCCAGACTGATCAGATGAGTAGTTCTGAGGGATCAGTGGTTGAAAGACAGCCGCCTCCACGCCTCAGCCAACCCAGTCACATTATAGCCAGAGCGGCCGAGAGGGACACAGTTACAGGAGCCCAGCTGCCGAGCCCAAACAGAGTCACAAACACCTGTCTGGGTAGAGTACAAACATACAGACACATGCTTTTCAACATCCACAGACGCCGATGCGGCTGCAAAACACACTACCTGCCACCACTCAAGGAAAGGCGGAGGAGGAGGAGGGGGGGCTGAGAGGTAACCTGACCCAGGTAGGGGAAGGATAGGGGTGGAAGGGGATGGGAGGGGAGGGAGGAGCAGTGCTGGCCCTTGGTCAAGTGCCTTGTATTCCACAAACAGGCCGCATCCAGTTACACTCTACCTGAGACGCCGAGCCTGAGGAGAGGACTCAAAGAAAAGCATGTGGACCCTCCCTTTGGTGCGCCTTATTTGGCTAATGGAGATTTTACTCTCAGAAAAACACATTCTGATTTCTTCTCTGAGCACGTATCCAGGGATTTAGTGAAAATCCAGACATATTCCATTCTTCTGAGCCAGTTCATGTGCAATTATGTTTTTTTTCTTTCCAGCTGCAGAAGTATTAAAAGCATTGAATTGCAGTTGCAGAGGTACCTATAAGCAGGTTGATAATTGGTAAATGTGGCTCAGCTGTCTGTGCTGCCTCCACTTGCTCACTACACTAATTAAAAGCAGCGAGATGGGAGAAAGGGAGAGAGTGTCATCAAGGACACGCTGGGAGACGTACACCTGAGACGGCACAGTCACTGATGCTCCGGGCACATCAGCATGACCTGAACGTCGGCGCTGTTTGAAGTTGTGACAGAGAGAAAGAGAGACAAAAGTGTCTGGATCTGAAACTGTTGCCTGTGGGGGAAATAAAGGGATGGGAGGAAATAGAGAGGAGAGGAGAGAGCACATGAAAAGAGAGTGAGGAGATGGAGGTAAAGAGACTGGGGGAAAGAAAAAATGAGCAGATTGAGAGGAAAAGAAGGGAAAGGGAGCGAGAGAGCGAAAGGGAGGGTCTCATCTGCCTCATCTGTGTGAAAGTTGAGGCATCCTCTTTAGGATACTTATTATTTAGTCTCACTTTCTGTTGCTCAGCCCTGATTCATTTCTACCTCTTTACCTCTCTCAAGTCATCATGTTTACACAAGCTGTTACTGCCATTTCCCTGTTGTCTAACCCTCTGCTGTTTTTCCTCCGTCTTTCCCCTCTTTCTTTGTCTTTTTCCTGCTGGTTGGAAATCTGCAAGGCTTGCTCATCGGCGCCAGCCTCTGTTAATCCCCTCCCAAAGCACCTTAGCAACGCTAGGAATTTAGAGATGCTAAAAAAAAACACACGACGACAACGACAACAACTGTTCTTAACACTGGGCTCATATTGGCAAGAGTGGCCACATCTTGAGATGTGTGTGTGTGTGTTTTCCATAAGCAGTTCAGAACAATCTGGAAGGGTGTGATAACCAAGGATCTCTCAAGAGTGTGTGTGTGTGTGTGCGCATGAGTGTGCGGCTGAATACGTGTATTTGTGTGTGCGCACAGAGTGGGAGTGTATGTTTATGTGATATAGTTCCTATAACACCAGCAACCTGGTAATCAACGCATGTAGTCACCTGAGATGCTCATTATCTAGTCCCTGTACATGTTCTGTTTGTGTCTGTTCACTGAGTCTGCACACACCACACACTGCTGGACTCGAGTCTCAAAAGTGTTTGTGTTTGTTGTGGTTGCACACACCTGAATGAGTCAATGATAGACCGAGAGGCTGAGCGAGCGAAGAAAATATAAATTATTACACAGCTGTGAAACAACTTGTTTTATTATGGGTCTAACTTTGATGTTAGCCAAATGCCTTGATGGAAAAAAAATCAATAAAGCAAGGTTACGCTCATAGCAATTATGCTGTTAGTTATTTTTCATTTGTTGGCTTTGCGGTTTTCATACATCAACACAGATCACCCCCCCACCTCTCTCTTTCTCTACCTAAAATCAATTACTTAGGGGCAATGGTAAAATAATTGAGGGCACATTTAGGCCTTGAAATTAATACATAGTTTAAATGTTAAAACTTTTCCATAGTTCTCACTTTGAAGTATTAATTTACCTCCCAAATTGAATGTGAAAAAAAAAAATGACGGAAAGCTCAATATTTCATTCTTAGGCAGTAATAAGATGCAAGAGTTTATTTAATATGTATTCTCTTTTTTTTTCAGCAAAGCTAAAACAACAGTAAAACAGACTGTACAATTTAAGTGTTGAGTACACAACAAAGACCTCTCGCAAGATGACAGTTTATTCATGAAGACGACTGTACTAATGGTAGTACCTTTTTTTTTGAAAATTCAAAATATATACGTAGATTCATGCACAGAAAATATGTTAATTATAACCTAAGAGATTATCTGAATAATGAATGTTTATTTCCTTTCTGCTTCTCCTGATAAAAGACAGTCCAGACAGTTTCCGGACAATAAACCTTCTACTGACGCACTGGTACTAGTGCCAGATCAGTACACGTTTCTTATTGGGCTGGTCAAACAGCATATTAAATACACTCAGGGCTGTAGAAATATTCATTACAGGCATTTTGACGGATTTTACAAATCTGAAAATGCAGTGGGTTCTTGGAAAACATGCCAACTGAGGGACTAAGAGTATTAAGACAGTGAAGCTGGCTCCAGTGAAAGGGAGTGGGAAAGGGGAGCTGTTGCAGACATCGCAGCAATGTTTTTTGTTTGCTGAGCTGGGTGAAATATGGGGCTGGGGTTGTTTTCTTTTTTTAAATAATATGTCCAATCTTCAGGTAAGCCACATCAGATAAAATAAAATCTCCACATGCTCACTCCACAATCTCACACTGCACTTAAGATACAAAACATTAGGCAATAGGAGAAAAGGGTTGTGTGATTAAGGTATTAGAGTAGGTAGCATCACATGGGGAAGAGTGAATGGAGGAAATTTGGGGCTTTGACCGTGGCTGACATTTTCCAAAAGGTCTTTTCGCCCACAGAACCTATCTTCTAGTGCTCGTTGTAATGATGGCCTGCCAGCAGAGGAGACGTGGTGCTATCTGTTAATCACAGGCCCCCTCAGTGATCCATGTCCACTGGTGATAGCCATGGTGGACACTTTGCTGGAAGAGAGAGACAGAAAGACAGAGAAAGAGGGAGATGGACAAAGAGAGGATATTGATTTCTAGGAGTATCAAATGTCAAAAAGTCAATAAATAAAGACACAGCAAAACAGAGCAAACCGAACCCTGTAGCTGTCGGTTTAAGATATAACAAATACATACTGTTCTCAATGTGTACATGTCATAGATAGTTGGATCACACACACACACACACACACACACACACACACACACACACACACACACACACACACGCACACACACGCAAACACACACACACACACACACACACACACACACACACACACACGTAAATGGTTCAGTCAGCTGAATACTTAATAGACAGCAGGTTATAAATTAAATTACAAATTAATCAAATGTACCCTATACCTTAAACAGTCTGATAGCTGACAACAATCTAATGGCTCTGGAAACAAATTGAGTAGGGTTATAATCATTAAGAACAATTTATCTGCGGCTCTCGGACATATTGCTGTGACATACACATCCTTCACTTGTTCCAATCTGACCTATCTAAACGACCAGGTTTGTTGATCACTTGACCCTGCAGAGTTCAAAGGTCAGCTAGTTCAAACAGCTATCAGTGTGCAGCAGGCACCATAAAACTGCTGTTTCTTATTTGAACTCTTTGACCCCTCATTAACCCCATCTCTACTGCACTGAGAATTATCACCTGCCACACAGGGGCAGAAATCCTTTACAGCATCTGGTGGGTTTGTATGTGTGTGGGCCAGTGATAGAGAAACACTGCAGGTGGGTTGTACACCACGCTCTACTGAGTGAATTGCCCAGTCAGTAGGTTGGTTTCCATTCACCTGTTTGTAATGCACACTTTTAATTTATGCGCAGAAAACGTGAGTGGATTGCCATAAAATAAAATAAAAAATCTTCTCTCGACAAACCAACTCCTAATAATCGTAGAATGGTAGGAGATGGAAACGTGCAGTAATTCGCAATTTCTTTGGCAGATTTTCTCAATTATTTGTGCTGCATTTGGATGGGAACTAGTGAGAGTTAGTAAGAGTCTCAGTCAACTAGTTCCAATGTGTATAAGAGACTAAGAGTCTACAGCTGTACCTTTGCACAGTGGTGCTTTGGGCAAAATGCTAATGGCAGCATGCTAACATGCTCACAATGACAGTGCTAACATGTAGTACAGAGTTGGTCTATGGACATCCACAGCCTATATGTCTGGTTTTCAGGCACTTCAAGTTGTAATTAAAATTACTCCTTGATATGACATGAATGCAGCATGATGTTAATCAGGCATGATGTTCAACATGTTCACAAAGTTTGCTAGATAAAGATTTCGCTAGATGAAAAGTCAGAACATCACCAAAGTGATTACAGTTCATTCTGAGTTGAACATTTCCCTTTAAAATCCAAATGCCAACCTCATGGTGGCACTAGAAGTACATTTTGAAAACTTAGCTAATTATCTGAGAACCAGTAATACAAAATTCCGTGTCAGTCTGTGTGGTAGATGTTGAAATATTTCACTAGAATAAGTGAAGACTTTGAGCTGCTGGTGGTACTAGACGAAAATACAGGGAATTGCTAAAGTTGTTCAGATTTATGCACTGGGGAACATGAACGTCTGTATGAAATTTCATGGCAAAACGTCTAATAGTTTTTGAGGTGTCTTAATATGTACTAGAGTCAAGTAGGAGAGATAGAAGAAAAAGTAAACAAGTCAACATGAAATAATTGTTTTATCTGAACTCTTAACCCTAAGCACCACAGCATTCTATATTAAACGTTTTTATTACAAAACACATGCTTTAAAATGTGTGTTATACTTTTGGTTTTGTCTGAAAAAAACTAAACGATGGTTGGGTTGATTCAATTCTGATTTATGTTCTGGTTTGTTGCGTTAAAGCTGCACCAAGAAACTTCTTTTGTTGATTCTGGTGGCCCCTGTGGACAAAAGCAGTAGTGTTTCTTCCCGGTGGTAGGCATTAAGAATAACTACAGGGCAGAAAGTTTGTAGATAAGCTCAGGTTGCCACAGAAATGAAGTCTGCTTATGTAACATAACTTCATCATCTCCTTCACAGCAGTGAAGTTAAGTTAAAGTAAAGTTAGCGGAGGGCTAAACTGGCAGTTAGCCGGCTTGGTGGAAGTCTTCATTGGAGTAATTTCTTTACTTTGCTTTTTGGCTTCATGCGCTACTGAGTAGCTTTCATAGGAATGAACCTCCATGCAGTTCTCTTTACACATCCACACTGCTAGCAGCTAAGTAGCTAACCCATGAGCTAACACATCCCACAAGCCCACCTTTCCTAAACAGGAGCGCTCAGCCGAAAACACACAGCTGCAGTACGGTCATAGGCAATGGGTGTGCTAACCAGAGGTTTAGGAAGTATACAGGTCCATTAAGTAAAAGCACTAATACCAACTCCACTGTGAAAATACTCCACAGCAAAGTTCATCATTCTTAAATACTTAGGTAAATGTATGTAAGTATTATAGAAAAATGTACTTAAAGAAGTCATTGTGCAGTAAAATGGTCAGTGTTTGTATATGATGTTTTTGGATCAATAGTACTGCTGCATTATTGTTGCATTTTACTGCTGTATTAAGGTTGAGCTACTTTTTTTATATACTCTTGGGTAGTTTTGGCCTAGGTGTCCTACATTTTGGCCGCAATGCCCCAATAAATTTGTATTTATCAAAAGCCAAAGTGGCTTTGACCTATAAATAACTTAAGTCTAGACCTGTATAGAAATAGCAGATCTTCCTGTCGATGGTCTTGTGTGTCTATGTAGGTCATATAGAGGCGTTAGTATTAAATTGAGACTGAGTTACATAAGCAGTTAAAAATGCCTTGTAGTAGGTTTAAGTGAGGAAAAGGTAGCCAACGTTTTATTCTAAAAAAGTACTCTAAATTGTCCGCTTTGCTCCTGGACAACTTAAATTTATTTGTCTCCATGACAGAAATTCTTTGTGGGAGCCACTTGTGTTAAAGGAGAAAAAAAGAAAAAAAACTAACAGTGAATACTGGGCCAAAGATCCTTCCTTCAAGTACAAAGAACAGGAGGATTGTAGAGGACACTTCAAAACTTGTCGTGCGACCCTTACTTGCTGTTCTGTTTGCCTCAGATGATTGGGACACCGGGATCAACGTGTTTGTCTGACCTGAAAATGGCACATGGGGACCCTGAGAAAATTAGACTTTTTAAGTGTTTGAAGAGACAGTTAAAGTCCCACGTTCCCTTACCAGAGACTTATTAACTCATGTCAGATCTCATGTTCATGTGCCAATGCATCTATTCATCATCATCATGATCGTTTATTGCATGTGACTAGTGCTGCTCATTCTCATGCAATCCATTGCACCTTCACTATGATACTGTGGTGGGGAATAAGCTGCAGGTAAACTGACTCCTCGTCCTTGGGGTCTTGATTGTCTGGCTGCTAGTGTTTCTTGCCCTGTTGGACCTATTTTTAGCGATGTTCCTGCATTCTGAGATCTCAGTAGTTACTGTGGAGAGTACAATGTTAACAGAACTGATATCCAGCGCCACAGGAGTAAACTCCACACGGGCTTGGCCAAAATGGCACACCAACTGGAAAGACTTCTTCCCCAGAACATACTATTGTTGTGTGGACAGAGCAGAGCGGCAAGACCTGGGCACATGGAACAACAAATCTGCAGCCAAAGGCAGATGGTGGCTTTTACAATTGAGTTTGTGCTTGTGGAGATAATGAAAGTTTGATCATGTCATTCCGCTTACTTTGCCAGTTTTAGTTGCAACACATTTTGTTATATGCATTAAAATTAGTGGGGCCAATATAAAGCTTTTTCAGTCATAATTCTGTATCACATCATAATTACAACTGAATTTTAAGATTAAAACATTAAACACCATTTTGCCAGAAGCCATGATGTACAGGGTTAAGTGGGTACTGAGTTATAACCCTCCAGTCTGCAACAAAATAACCCCGCTCACCTCTACACATATCAGTCTGGCGCCGTTTTCACATGACTTGAACAGTGGATCATTGTGCATGATGGCACTTCTCAAACTGAAGGCTGCAGGTTTATCAAATATATTTTGTCCTCAGATGGCAGTGGGGACTTAAGTAACCGAAGGAGGTTTTCACAGACTATTTTCTTGGCATTCCTGCTATAACCACCTTTAAATTTGATATGCAATGCTACCTTAAATGCATCTACAGGAGTTCACATTTTTTTAGATTGATACAGCATTTTTTTTATACTTGTGGTGCATTTCCACCAAGTGTTTTGTTTGCCCTTGACAGAATTTCCAGCTTAGAGACATCTATTGTCAGCACAATGTCTAAGACTCAATTTCTACCAAAAATACCAGCAACAAGCTTTGCAATAACTCCATTTGAAAGAAATTCCAACATGTTTGCACCTCTCCTCCCATCTGTGTGCCATGTACCACATCTCCACTGAACACAAAAATACCAAACAGACCAACAGCAGCAAAAATCTACTTAACGATGCTGCTACTAAAAAAAAAGTCCTATTATATCACTAACTAATAGTTATTTGGAACTTTAATTAAGCATTGCTACCATCTGTCTCCTTGCTGGCTGTCTCCACCACAGTTAAGTTTGTATATTGGTAATTTGCTTTGCTTAATATGTTTAGCTTCTGGATTTCACTATTTCTTTCATCCAGGCAGTGTTGGGGTGGGGTGGATGGTTTGACATATAACTTTGACATTGAAACCCATACAAAGCGTCTGACTCTGATTGCTGTTCACAACCATATCAACTGTCAACATTGGTTTCTATTACTTATGATCTTTATCAAATCTTAACCTAGAAGTATTAGTTACCTAAACTTAAAGCTGTATAAATTGATTTTTTGGCCACTTGGGGGCAGTGGAACAAGCTGAAAACACAACAATGAATTTCCCCTTGGGGATGAATAAAGTATCTATCTAATCTAATCTAATCTACCCTAATCTGATGTATTATTTCCTTATTAAATTGGGGAACATTTTAGCAAACTGTTGCCTGCTGTTTTAGCTCCACTATGGTCTCAGCTATAGTAATTACTTTGTCTGTCTGCCGTCAGGTGCAGCTAGTGTACAGTCCATCACAAACTGTTCACCTAAACCAAGTAAATAAAAACTTTGATCTTCTTTAGTTGCCAGGAGCAAATATTAGGGAAAGTAAATTGAATATATATTATTCACAGAGAAAGTTATAGATATATTCAGTATGAATGCTTTATGTTGGCAGTGAACAGTTTGAAGATATATGTTGAATATAAAAGTTTCCTTATTATATATTATTAATAAAGGTGTGATTCAGGCAGCAATACTTTTCCTACAGAATGTTTGATTCAAGCAAACTGATTGACCCTGTTCAGTTATTTCAAAGCATTAATGAGAAAAGTTTAATAGTTTTCTTCACAAAGCTTCTTTACACAAGATCAAATTTATATCAACCTAGACCTATTTCATAGAATAAAGGTTAATTTTCAGCTGATTTTTCCGCTAGACACGTTTCTGTTTCACACTGGCGGCAGGGCTGTTGCAGCTACTGCTGAGGACGCTGAGGACATGTCCTTTCTAACATTTTAGGGAATTTGGGGGTGGGATTTAGGCACATATTGCACATGTTGGGTTTTTGAGATACTTTTTAGACTAAATGTCTTAGATTAAAAACAAATATATTTGAATGGATTTAGTGTTTTATACCAGAATTGCAGTGTAGAGAAAGTTTTGAAACAGTGAGACCATGATAAACTTTAAAGAAAATATAATTGAGTCATTTAATGAATGAATAAAATGTGAATTTCTGTGGGGATTTTTAAAATAGAGATATTTAGAAGCTTGTCACAATTCTTAGGTGCGTTGGGTTGTGCTGGGTGACTTTGGACTCATGACCTAAAAATCCTTGCTACAGCCCTGACTGGGAGTCTCCTCCTCCCTCCATTCAGTGATGGACAGTGAGGCCACTCAGTATGCTACACCCCCACCTCCCAAACTTCCATCTTCTTCAAACTTATTCTTTCCTTTCTCCTCCTTCCTCCAAAAACTCCCCGGTTCCTGTGGAGTGGCTGGTTTTGTGTGGCCTCAGCACTGTCCCGTTTTTATCACTCCTCTGACGGGTTACCCCGGTCCCCCTCGCACCTGCGCCGCTCCCAGGTCCCTACAGGAATGCGCTGGGGCTTGTAATCGCCTTTGTGGGGGCCATTGAGTTGTATGGCTGACTGAAACTTCCCAACCTCACAGCGCGCTGGCCGCTGAATGGGGCTCAGCGTGGGGCGGCTCTCCAAACCACGGCCGCTGCCAAATTCCTACAGTGGCGCTCCACAATCACTCCCACACAGGCCCCGATATACCGCCAGGCAGAAGGGACGGGGAGTATGGGGTGTGTGTGTGTGTGTGTGTGTGTGTGTGTGTGTGTGTGTGTGTGTGTGTGTTTGTGTGTGTGTGTTGGGCAGAGAGATGGAAAAAGTCTGCATTTAACTCCAAACCAGACAGCCACTTTTTTTTTTTGCGTAATATCGTCACTCTGGATGGACACATGGCACAAACATTTCTTGGGGTTCTGTCACTTTTCGATTAGTCGTTAGCAGTGATTTAGAGTAACAATAAACCAAATGTGATTTTTTTTTTTCCATTTTAATATCTCACCTCTTGTCAAAAAGTTCCAGTGCAGATGCTATTCCAACAACGGAGAAATCTGAAAAATAAAAAAAAAGGAAAATAAAAAAAAGCGTTTGAATGCTGGACAAAGTTTGAAAATAAAGCAATTTCTCATAACTTTCAGGACATTTGTGCTGCGTTTCGGTGCATTAGGTCTGTGCGCCGGCATATAGCGTGGTAGCTGTGGGTAGATAGAGCAGCACTGCAGGATTAAGAGGCAGCAAGATTGTTAAACATGTCAACGTGTAATTGCACGATAAGGCCCTTCCGAGGAATTCATTGGCCCAGTTGCTTTCTCTATTCCGCGCTAATCTCGCCCGGCACATTCGCTCTGTGCAATCTGTCTCCATAATCTTCTGTGACAGAGCGGGCGACGAGAGCAGGCTGCTTGGTAATTTTTTTTTAGGAAAGGGGGGGCGTGGAGAAAATATGCAGAGGCGTGATAAAGTGACGCTAATTATCCCCATTTAGGACAGGGAGTGCAAGGGATCGGGGCTTTACGAGCAACCGAGTGTGCGCTGGAGCTGATGGCCTCCTAGCACAGAATATATCGGTGGCTACAAGATAAGAGTATCGCACGGTGGAGAGATTTATTGGCCGGTCAGCTAAACACATGCGCGCGCGCGCACGCACGCACGCACGCACAAACAAGCCGCACACATGCGCGCTCAGCAACCACCACCGCCGCCACGTAGCTTGTATACGGTGCGCCCTACACTTACCCCTCTTCCACCTCAAGGTGCAATTTATTCGGGTTAAATTTGCCAGAACGCTCCTCTTTTTAGCCTGGCGATGCGCCGTGACGCGCTCCGCCTCTCCGGGCTTTCAGTGTTAATCCGCATCTCTTCACATCAGCAAGATAAGATGCAAAACACACAAGGAGGGCATCCCGTGCCATAGGCTGCGCGCTGTAGTGCGGAGAGATGTCTCCATAGATGCGGGTTTCTTTGGGGGTTTTGGAATTTTAACTAATTTCCAGACATTGTTCCTCTGATTTCTTTCAATAGATTAACGCGCAGCCAGACGTTACACGCTCCACTATGAGGCCTAACAGGTTTAATTGACATACCATGCAAGTCTTCATCAGTGTGAAATAGGCCCTTTAACTATGTATTTGAGATTAATTGATTTTTAAAAATACTTAAGTAGGCATAAATTTCCCTCATTTGCATGTGTATGGCTATTAGTCTGTATCTACACATGGGGCCTACAGGCAATAAAAAAATGTACACGTCAAAACCAGCTGTGGCCTGTCAAAAAATGACGTAATTTTCAGGATAAATTTTCATTATCTTAAAAGGATTAATAATCTGAATGACATGGGTATCTTTCTTTCTTAAACATGTCTATGCCACAATGAAGGTGTTTTTTTTGTCAAAGGTACCAAAACTCACAGTCATCTAAAATCTAACATCTACAGCTCTGAAATTCTGATGAGTCATCAGTAACCCCATGAACTGCTTGTCCCGAGTGTGTTTGGACTCTGGGAAGTTCAAGTCCAGTCTGTGCAAAAGTTAAGGCTGTGTGGTTTTTGGGTTGTGCACGTTGATAGCGGGTTAAGTGTATATAATCTTGCATTATTTCATGCTCTGCTTTGTGCTACGGAGTTTCATATTTTTACGAAGTGGCATTAAGATTGTTTTCGTTCCTTTACAAGTGATGGCTTTATCCTCCCAAGTTTCTTGTAGAGGTGGTATCAAACATGAATTTATTGCTCAAATCCCCGTTTGTGCCTCATGCAGTTTTCCCAGTTTGGACTCTTTGAAGTGTCAACCTCACAGCTAAACTAAAAGATGATGGGACCATGCATTAAAGATAAAACCCCGGGTAAAATAACAGTTATTACAAACAAAAGAGTTATCATCTTATCATCTTTGAACACTGTTCAAGCAGATAACCAAAATAGAGCTAGAGAAATTAAGGTTTTTGTGATTTTGTGGATTCACATATTTTTCTCTGAGGTCTTTTTTTTTATTGTTGATCACAACGTAGCTTTTAATATATGAATTAAGCTTTTCAGGGTCACCTATTTTTCCATCTCTCAAATATAAACAATTAAATGCCAAAAGAGAAATAAGGTAGAAGATTAAAACAACTCCATGTCCCGAGGGCAGTGGATGTAAACCTGTTCAGGTGAAAGATCACTGAAAATCGAGTCTGTAATTTATATTATTAAAAAATATAATTTGCTCACTAAAGTGTTCATTATATATTAATATTCTTTACTTGAGTAAGTATGAGTTGTGTCAAGTGTTCAAAACAGAAGCAGTGAAATGGCATCAAAACGGTGATATAAAATTTCTCTCAGTGCATCAAAAAGATATTAATCTATTTTAATTATGTATTATGGAAAAAGTTCATATTCGCCTGATATAAACTCATATTTATAATGTTAATGAGCAAATTAGTTCTAAAGCCTTTTCATAGAGGTTCTTAATTTTTTGATGAAGAGCAATTTCGTTATTTAAAATCTGATCAAGAAATGGAAGCCTGCTACAACTTTACAATTCGTTAGCAACATAGATATCTACTCACTCATCAATAAAATGATTTTTAAAATTAAAAACTAATAAAAAATTTTTGCTGCTTAAATTTGCTATGAACACATCACATAAGCCATTACAAGGGGGAAATGTAATTAGTTAATGGCATAATTTAGATTAACCCTATTATATCCGTTAATAAATTAGGACGTTTCGTTAATAACACTAACAGGTGGTTTGTCATGAGGCCTTCACGGACTCTATATAATGTGTTTGGGGTTTTTTGTTTTGTTTTTTTTAGGAATATACAAAAACGAATGTGTAAGGATTCATACGTATAAAGGGTGAATGTGTGGGCCATCAACTTTGCCTGACTTAAATATTCAAAAATTACATTTGAATATAGTTTGGCCTGCACGCCACTGAAATAGAGAAAATGCTTTAAAAAAAAAAATGTGAATGATAAATAAATGTCTCATTACCCACATAAAAGTTTAGCCCACGAAACAGAACCATCCCACCAAAATGGTTTCCTCACAGGCCTGCAGACTGCAGCTTTTACGCACAATTACGCACAAACAATTAGGGCTATTTAAAAGCTCGTGGGATCTGTGTCCAGCAGCGGTGTCAAAATTTAAACGGGTAGCTATTTTTTTTTTTTTTTTTTCGAGAGAGAGAGAGGAGGCTCGATGATAATCATGTGTCCTAAAACGTGAAAAACACTCCAGTAAGAACATTGTGGAAAATAATCAATCTAAGACCGTTGTCTTAAGAATCAAAGCAACATCTTGTGAAATTTATTCAATTCTTCTTCATTGCAATATCAGGGCTTTTCACTTGCAGAAAAGCACTTAAATTACAACAGCAGTTGCCCGTCATCCTTTGAAATATTAAAATTATTCACAATTTACAATAATTAGAGTGTTACAATAAAAAGAGATGATTTCCAAGAATTAAGACACAGGCTTCTGCAAATGAACACAAATGTTTGAAGAATGTGAGTTTCCCATTTCTTTTAAAGCACTTTCTTAAGATTATGACACGTTATCTCATTTTCAATAACTTACAGACCCCCCCAAAAAAAAAAATAAAATAAAAAATTATGAGACAATTAAACCAAATACCCCCATGTGAACCTGGCGCAACCCTCAACTAAGACTGTGAAGTAAATGGACAAAAAGATGATAGCACAATAACCAATATCTCAGCATCATATTCGTTATATAATTCCACTGGTGGCTATTCAAAAAAGCCGAGATGAATATGCTATTTACCCTTCATTTACAATATCATAAACATTCTGTACAAAATGCAGGTAGTTCTCGGGACCGGGGTTATTTAGAAAAGAGGTAAATATTTGGTTATGTGTTCGTTTGCAGTTTTCAATTATTCTGTGAGTTCTAAATGTGTGTTAGAGGGACCGTCCCGTTCACTCCAGCCGTGGCGCTCTGGTAATGCTGCGGCAAGGCATGGAGTCTACTTTGCATTGACGGGTCCCCCGGCTCTCCGGTCGGTAAATACATGCTTATCATCTCTCTCAAGTCTCCGGGGCAAGGACCCCGTGAGTGTGTGCTGCTGACGGGAGGGCTTACACTCGGCTCCGACTTCACCAGCGACCCTAACGTCCCCATGGCAGCTGAAGAGGAGACGCCGGAGCCCTGGTGCTGTGTGTAGGTGATTCCGCCGTAGCCGGATGGAGAAGCGTTCATGTAGCTCTGAGAGTTTGAGATGGGGCTGTACTGCAGGGCTGTCATGTCGTAGCGGTGCATTGGCTGGGGGTTGTGTGAGTGATGGTGGTGTGAGTGGTGGTGGTGGTGCGCTCCGCTCCCTGGGTGCTGGCTGTAGGCTAGCTGAGCCTCCTGCATCATCGCTGCTGCCGCCGCGGCTGCAGCCACCTGCCCCGAGTACGCACCGTTGGCCCAGCCGTTCATGTGCGCGTAGCCGGAGCTGGCGGAGCCTCCGTGACCCCCGGGGCTCTCTAACCTCTGGCCGACCCCGGATGAACCCATTCCGACCCCTAAACCCACTCCACCGCCTCCACTGGGCCCAGAAAGCAGTCCACCGGCAAGGGAATATTTGTCCTTTTTCAGCAGCGTCTTGGTCTTCCGTCTTGGCCGGTACTTGTAATCCGGATGCTCCTTCATGTGCATGGCTCGCAACCGTTTCGCCTCGTCGATGAAAGGGCGCTTCTCAGCCTCGGACATCACCTTCCACTCGGCACCCAGCCGTTTGCTGATCTCAGAGTTGTGCATTTTGGGGTTCTCCTGTGCCATCTTTCTCCGCTGCCCACGGGACCACACCATGAACGCGTTCATCGGTCTCTTCACCCGCTCCTGATTCGCTTTGGACCCGCTGTTCGGCCCCGTTTGCCCCGTGGTCGTGTTCGTTTGGGGGCCGGGGGAATGGAGGTCAGTTTCCATCATCATGCTATACATTCACCTGGTTTTAAACTTCGCCACCAACAGAGAAAAAGTCTTTTTCAAGATCAGGTCAGGCGCGCACAAGATCGGGTGCGCACAGGATGACTGGGTTACAAAATTAATATTCTAACCCCAAATGAATCAAATGCGAGATAAAAATTAATCCGAAAGGGGATGTAAAATGTTCTCCAACCAGTATTTCACCTTGTCTTCGCCTGGGTTGGTTCACATCCACTGTGATAGAATGCGCATTTGAGCCACTTTCCCTGTCGGAGTTGAGAAGTTGGTTAAAGCGGCGGCCATATGATGCGCACTGACAGCGGTTAAATGAGCCACAAGCGGCCAATGAGGCTCTAGCAGCAGAATGATTTGCATGGCGTTTGGTCAGGTGACTAGAGGACCATAGAGGAAGCACACACCGGAGGAGGAGGAGGAGAAGGAGGAGGCAGAAAGGAGGGTCAATCCCACAAATAGCACAAGGCATTTGAAATTTCCAAACACGCTCTCAGAGACTTCAGCGAAACAAAAATAACTAAGATTTGTTAGCAGTGGTGCAGCGGCCAAAAGGTGGGTGCAGTCTGTGATTAGGATGAGTCAAAGATCTCAACATATTTTTCTTTAAATGGGTATGGTTGGTGAATTTTTAAAAATCACTTTAAAGCTTCATTATAATTCCCAGCCTTCGATAAAAGTTTAAGTACAATTACTTTCCACCATCCACCATTTGTGTTTGAATGTCAGAACATTCACCTTCATTCTCAAATTCACTGTGCGTCCTATAGAGGCCCGGACCCAACTGTATTTCCATGCACTGGAATTAAACCACAGTCTACCCAAACCAATTCACTCTGAGTCGACTTGATGCTTCACCAGCGCCTCAAAATCCATTTGTCACACCATCTCTCTCTCTCTCTCTCTCTCTCTCTCTCTCTCTCTCTCTCTCTCTCTCTCTCTCTCTCTCTCTCTCTCTCTCTCTCTCTCTCTCTCTCTCTCTCCCTCTCTTTGTCTCCCTCTCTCCCTCCAGGTATGTAATTAAAGTATGCAATAATAGTAGGTGTCAGAGAGAGAAATTACACACACTCAGTGGAGAAGATGATGTGAAAAAGATTTGGTAAAAAAAGAAAAAAGAAAAAAAGAAAAACAACAACTGTTGGTCTAAGAGGAGAAGCCCCTGAGGATGGATAACCATATAATGACGTGAAATTGCAGAGGCAAAGCGCCGTTATCGCCGTCTGCTGGTGGTGGTGAATGAGTCCTGGTCATTGCCGTGTGTGTGTGTGTGTGTGTGTGTGTGTGTGTGTGTGTGTGTGTGTGTGTGTGTGTGTTAAGATGAAAAGAAAGGCCACATGTAAACTGCTCTGCTGTTGTCATTTTAGTGGACTTTTTTATGCGGCTGATAGGCTAGAGTTTATTCTTAAACATCCAAGTCAAGGAACGCGTCTGCGAACCCCGAGAGGGGGAAACGGTGTCTATGTGTCTCCGAGTCCGCGCATATATAATTCAGATTTCACAGCTGACCTCCCCTGAAAAGCCCAATCAACCTCTAATTGAAAGGGAAAACGAAATACCACTTCCCCGCGGCGAGACTAACGATTTAATCATTCTATCGTTCTTTGCTGTTTTTTATTTTAATTGGAGCTTAGCTTGATGTAGCTCTCTATTTAGGGCCTAAGGGAGCGGGATCACTCGGACGGATCCGTGCGTCTTTGGTAATGGGGTTAACGGGGTATCACATTGGTCAATAAGACGTTTCCAGTGGTCCGGGCCATGTGGCGTAAAGGCCCGAGGAAGATGGCAATATAATGATGATGAGGCCAGGGAAGCCTTCGCACCAGAAAACAAATACACAAACGCAAAATAAAGAAAAACAATACTGACGCTTGTTGCGATAAAGATATGCAAATAACACCGATAGCTTCAACTGGTTCAATATTAATACAAATACAGTCAAATTCATTAAAAAATAAGTAGCCTATATATTTTTTTAAATTTAAAAGTAAGGATTCATATTTTATTGAGCCAATCAGATAAATAATACAAAGCAATATGAATTGGATTTGGGTATAGGTATTTGTTATTTCAAATTGTAACCAAATACATCTTAAGACTCAAACTTCAGACTTTTATGTGTTTTTAAATCACAGACCCCTACCTTATAATAGGTCTAATTAATTTATGAATTATTCACAAACAATGGCATCGTTAAAGTCCAACAATCTGATGAAGGAGATTGATTAAAAATAAAAAAGAAAGACCTGTAGATTTAAGGATCGATCAGGAATAAACATGGAATTAGTATTATTATTTGTCCCTCTCATTGTTGAGTGGGTTTAGGATTGTAGAGGATTAACCTTTACAGTGACACTGGGACCCCGGTGGCCCCTGTTTACTCTCTCTGTCGTCCCTCATCAGTCACTTCTCTTTTAACAAACCATCTTTTCAGACCTCATCGCTCCTTTGTGCACGGCCTCTGCAACAGGATGCGTGCGCTGCGACGACGGTGCACGACCGGGGCCAAGGGTCAAAGCAGTTATCCAACGCCCCCCACTCCCCATCTCCCCCATAACTGAATAAATAAAGAAGAGAAGGACAGTGAATAAACACAACTACGTCAGGCACGGCGGCCAGGGGGTTGTCATTGTGCGTTTTAATCTCAGCAAACTCCAGCATCAAATAAACCCACCCCCCTCCCTTTAATCTGCGATAACCCAGAACAACAATTTCCACGCGCGCTGGCTTGTGCACACACGCACAGCCAGCGCGCGTGGAACTGGGTGGAACTGGCTTTAGGTGGGGGGAAAAAAGGGAGTTGTGATCACCTGCGGATTACCTGGACACAAACTGGGTTAAGCAAGAGAAAGTAATTGTTTTCGTCAGTGCACACACCCTAAAATCTAAAGATGTGATGTCCAGCCCCCCCCCCGCTCTTCCTCGCCACCAACCCGCCTCCTCCTCCTGAAAAGTAAAAAACACAGAGAGAATCATGTAACCTAAATATTGACAGCCACCAAGCCACGTAAAACAATTCTCTCTTTATGAAACACTTGTATATTTTACTGCATGCAGCAGACTTCTTCTCGGTAATCCAGCCGAATAAAGGTGACACGGATGGCAACTACTCACTCCCGAGCAGATCACTAGCCGATAATGTCACTTCAGTAAATTAAACTGAGAGCAACTGGTAGCAGCACCGTGAGCCACAGAGCTGTGCGCTCTGTGCAGCCAGACCCTGGTGGAGCTCACATGTCCCAAAATAAAACGACAGCCTGCAGCTAGAAACACATTATCTGCACTGAACTGAACACAGCAGAGCGCAGACGTTCCCAAATAAAGGTTGCCAATAAATACACTTATTTCAGTAAGCGCAATCACTGAGATGAGAAAGCGTCCAAGTTCGCTTTACCCTACATTTTTCCAGCATCACTCTTAGACAAAAATAGATTTTTACGCACAACACATAGGTTAACTATTAGTGCAATCTACAGGTTAAATACTTGTATAAAAATGCCTTTCCTGCGTACGGAATTGTCATATGCAAACTTACGCATGTTCCCCTCGTTCCCTCTACTCCAGACCAAGTGGGCAGATTTCTCCCTCCATACTCCTAAAGCCGTCCTAAACCCTCCAAAGCTTCATGTAAGACCGCTACTCCCACTACAATCTGGCCGCTCGAGTGCCAAGGCCATCCATGCCCGGTGCCCAAACCCACCACTCAACACACACTGAGGGGCAGAGACAAGAAGAAATGACATTTATTATACACTCTAAAAAAGACAATTCCAAGTTATTGTTTCTCTCTGCGAAAGGGGGGCTTGCTTCTAACATAATGAAGCGTCTTTTGTGTGGCACAGAACAATACAAAACAAGTATTCTAATAAATAGCCACTTTTTTTTTTTTTTTTTTTTGGCTCTCAAGGATGAATGGGCTGGAGCGGCGGGGTTCTGAAAGGCAGCTGTGCCGCATTCGGGGAGGAGGGGCGAGGACTTGAGGAGGAGCCCCCGCAACCCCATCGCCTCCTCCTGGATACTGACTCCCATTACTGATCCTGGAACAGAAAAGGATGCAAAGAGAAGGAGGGGCTGGGGTATTGACTTTGGAGGCTGTTTTTAGTCAGGACATACACTGAGTCCAACAATGTGATCCTCAAATCATCAAATATTGCTTCATACTGTGAAGTCCACAGTATCCAATTAGATTTAGTTCATATGAACCTGCACAGCTTGCAAGCATGTGGTTCAGACAGCTTCTTGGTGGGGAAACACACACTTTTTTACAAGACACACTCACAGACACAGGCACACATACAATACAATATAAGACACAGCTGGGCTCTTATTTACACACAGGTTCACAGTTTTGAGACACAGCACTGTCAGCATCTGTTTCAGACACACACACACACACACACACACACACACACACACACACACACACACACACACACACACACACACACACACACATACACACAGACAAATGCAAGTATGATCAATCTACTTGCAAACTCAGTGTTGATTACCTCACGCATTAATTTCTTCTCACTCTAACCCTCACATGTCCCGTTTGTTGTGCAAACACAGGAGCAGAGCCTGGTTGAGCAGCTTCTTAATGAATCAGGCATCCGACTCACTCCCTGCCTGGTGCAGCCTCCTGGCATCAAGGCTGCCAGAGCTGACAGACTCCCTGACTTGTAGCTGATGTAGCTGGCAGGTGTCTCTGCTGCTTCACACATCCATCTGCTAACTGGTGAAGCCAAGGTGACAAATATGTGGGTCCTATAAAAGTAATTTCCCAGCCTTCTTTTGTTCAGGAACAAGGGGTGGCAACAAATCAGAGTCTTGGAGCTGCTTTAACTACAAATGTGATCATTCATTGTTGTATAATGACTTGCTGAGCTACACTGGACAGATAGTGGGTAAGCATTTTGTCGTTCGCTTCCTACATTTCCTTCAAAAATCTTTAATATAAAGTGAGAATACATTTCACAACACAGGGATGTCACCACTTCTATAAATCACAACAAATATTCCCTGGCATAAAATCTCGTGATATTTCTTCACTTAAGTCTCATAAAAATAATGGTGGTTAACCAACTTTTTCATTTACTTTCTCCCCACTGCCTTGGTGCAGATTCAAACAACTTCTACATCCTGTCATTTTTAGATGATTCACCAGAGATTACTTTGTCACTTTGCAAAATGAACCGCATCAAATAAGTATTACACATAACCACGCAAGCAGTAGAGTGACATAAAGTGCTACGGCTAAGTAAAAGGCAATGTTGAAACTATTAAGGGGGGAAGGACGAGTAAGACAGTGAGAGAGCGACAGAGAGAGAGAGAGAGAGAGAGAGAGAGAGAGAGAGAGAGAGAGAAAGGTCAAGGCCTAAAAGCTTTGAGGGAAGAGTGAGCCAATCGACTTACTTTTAAACAATGATTTTACACTAATCTTTATGTGGACACAATGCACTACTGTGAAACATGAGGTGCACACTTGAATAATAAAAAAAGAGCATGTAATTTGGTGTGTTTTTATGCCTATTTCAACAATTTGAACAAAATAGAAAATTTAGCTCACCAGAAAGCTGAAAGCAGCATATGAACATATAATGCATACAAACAAAATGTAAAAACTGACACTGTAGTAAATATAATGAAAACAGATTGCTATATAAAAAAAGTTAAAGTTGAAGTGTTGGGAATATTTAAAGATATAAATGGCTGGTTAATAACTGGCTCATACATTGGACATACTAACATATTTTAGTAAATGGCTTAATGTAGTGAGTTCTAGAGCAGGATGGTAACCCCAAACTGACAAACTCAAAGTGCGATTTTTTGACAGAGAGAACATAACATGCCATTCAAA